ATATGGGGGCAATGGAAAAGAGAATGGAAACTACTATAGTATAGTAAGGTGTATGTTGGATGGCTTCTTGAAAGTAATGTTGGTTGCTGGAGGGCTGTTGGAGTAGCTTCTTGAACACATGTAGGGACATGTCAGGCTTGCAGATTCGGGGACCTTTTGTGGGAGTCCGTGTATTGGGGTAATATTAGGGCCATATTGGGGGTTAAATGGGGATAACGGAAAGAATGGAAACTGCTATTTAGGGTTTAGGGGTTCAGATTTCAGCCAACATGGGCCCTTACTTCTAGAAACTCCCATATCACATGGGGGACGACAGCATACATGCTGAGGTACGTGTTAATCGCGCCCAATTGGGGATCGATGTTTGTCAACTGCACAACTACAGTACTCAAGACATGCGAATCAGTTGACATGGCTTTCAAGCGAGCTGAACATGCGACCTCTTTGTTCACCATATTTCCTGTCCCAAGATGTGGCAAACTCCTTGCGAAGTTTATTCCTTCTTGGGATATGCTTACACATTCTTTGCTGTTGTATTACTGAGAAATATAGCAACCTATCCCTTGTTGGGATGACATTGGGCAGCTGTATGCGAGGACGCTCGCTGCAGCCCACTCTGGTAACCTACGGAGCTGTCATGACGTCTTGTGCCAGAGGCTCTCTGTGGCAGCACCTCACCCAAAATTTGGAGTGGGTCTTAGGCCTTAGGATTTAGGGTGGTCCCCAGAATAAGGATTTGGGACCCATATTTTGGCCCCCCGTCATTTATGGAAACCATCATAAGAAGAAAGAAGTTCTCCAAACTATGGCTTTTTTGATAAGGAGCCTCTGGGGTCTGTGTCGGAGACTGCCACTTGAAGCAGTTTAGCTACATGACAAAGCTATCAGCAAGAATGATTTGCTACCAAAAGCTGAGGTCCTTGGGCCGACCCAGGCCTGAAAAACTAACATTCAGTTGGATTACTTTCTTTGAGCCCCTGTGTGGTGCCGATACATTATAGTATGGAAGCAAGAACTTGGGACACAACACGTCTGACCTTCATTTTGACAACTATCAAGTTGTGGTTTGGAACCTCAAGCAAGGTATGCAATGGCAGTCCTTGACGCAGCTTGGCCGCATAAATGACAATCAATAACATGATCAAGAGCAACACCTTGATTGAGATTCATTGTTTCCTTTCGCCGCTCTTCCTCTCAACTCATCATTCACCTGTTTTTGTCCCTGTGAAGCCTGAAAAAACTGGGAGGAAGCCCATGCGATTGCTGTGCCAGGAGATGCGAGACGCAGCCGTCAGCCCTGACTCACTGGTCTTCAGTGCGTGCGCGGGAGCATGTAGACGGGGTTCCCAGGGACAACTTGCGCTTCTGCTTGACCAAATGCTCTTGGAATGCATGTGCCACGTGTGCAGAGAGAGCCTTCTTGCCACGACAGACTTGCTTGTTGCCGCGTGCAAACATGCCGCCAAGAGCTTGCATACTGCAGGCAGCTGTACATAGCACAGTCAGGCCGCACAGTTTAGGGTTTAGGTTTTGAGTCTCATCGTCGTAGCTAGTCAGACACGCTTGGAAACCAACATGAAACGCAACAAATCCTTGCATCCAGCAGCTTGAATTCACCAGGAAATTCATTATGACCTCTCCAGCAAGAAGCTTGCAAATGGTAAGCAGGTAAAAGATAATTACTGGAAGACGCTCAAAAACACATAGCAGACACAAACGCATAAGCTATTGCCCAGTCATATCTCCCAAGTTAATACTGAAGCCTTGCCATGGTTGGGTCGGCTTTCAATACGCCCATCCCTTTGGCTAATGGCAAGGTGCCAGCGCCTTGCCTCAACAGTCTTTGATCCACATGGTTCTTGCAGATATCCCTTTACGCGGACGCTGGTCTAGGTGGGGTTCTCGAGAGTGCCCCCGCCCCCCGACATGAATTCAACATGAGATACTTTTGTCTTGATACACAGGAGTTGACACCCTATCCTGAAACCCTACGTACAGCCGGGAATACCACCCCAGCGGGGCAGCTGATGTTGAACATCGCCACTACCTGATGTCATGGGCGCCCTGCCTGTCTAGGACACCGGCGGTGTCATTCTGCAGGGTTGAGGGTTGTGATGCTGGGCTGATGCTTTTCGAAACGCCATGAATTCTGGCTGTAATTTCACCAGTGGTCAATCAGTGGTCAGAATATCCACGCTGGTACTGTAGGAACTAAACAGCCGCAATAATGGCAGGCGTTGTATCGATGCCTGGGTGAATGAGGATAATGTTTCCACGCCAGCAGATGACAGCAGCGCAAAAAGGTGATGAAGTAGTATGTTGGGGATTCTAGTGGAATATTTCTTACAAACCCACTGGGGTTAGTAGGGAATAAGGGAATACATTCTATAGGGATTCTATAAGGACTATATTCCCTTTATTCCCGACTATGAACCAGTCAGTAGTTGATATTGATGCAGGCCTCTGATGAACAACTCAATGTGGATCCTAAAGTTTAGCTCCTGAGAAGAATGCACAGTACTTGGAATTAGGCTTCACCTGATTCATGCGAATGGTTAAGGTTCTACAGCTTTCAGCAAAGCAACTTGGCAAGCAGCAGGGCTCTGCATTTGGAATTTATTGTAAATCCCCTAGTCTGCTACCAGTGTGTTCATCGCTGCAATAAGCATCTTGCAGGATAGCTAGATTTCATTTCGGCATCATTATTCTTATCAGCTTTGCTGTTACTTCATGTTATTTCTCTTCGGAGTAGCAGAAGTTGCCGTTGTTGTGGTGTTGTTGGCGGTAGCGATGGCCGTGATAGTGCCAATTGTTGCTTCCGCTGCAGCAGTAGCAGCAGCCAACAACAGTCGTGGTAGCACGGTCTCTGCTTTTTTGGGTGGAATGAACTCCAATTTGAGCAATGAATCTCAGTTTGAGCATACAGCTATGGCTACCGTGAATTTACGGGATTCTGGGAGATACCGTGGAAACTGTCCTGAGCTACCAGATCAGACCCATCAAGAGCTCAAGTAGGGTTCCCCAAGATTAAGGGGTCCTCTAATGGAATCCCGACCAGGAGGACAAGTTTGTATTGCAGCTTCCAGAAATCCAATCAGTTTACGGCTTTGGTTTCTGCAGATTTTTTAATGCTTCCTTACTCCGTGGACCTAAGCATTTGTTCTAAATTCTACGGGTCAGTAGTTTCCATTTTCTTTTCCATTATTCCTCATATATGACCACAATATACTACAGTAGTTTCCATTTTCTTTTCCATTATCCCTATATAACCCCAATACATACCCTATTAAGATTAGTAGTTTCCATGTTCTTTTCCATTATTCCCTAAACCCTACATAGTAGTTTCCATGTTCTTTTCCATTATCCCTATATAACCTCAATATAACCCATATATAACCCTTATGTAACCCCTATATACACCCGGGGTCGGCCTCTGACTGTGCAGGCAAAAACTGCTTGTGTGATTTTCAATCGGTCGTCGACTTTTTCCTTCAACCGTCAGTGCTTGGTGTAGGGTTTAGGGTTTAGGGTTTATTATCAGTTAAGGGTTTAGGGTAGCTCTAAACCTTGTCTTTCATGCTAAGGCGGTCCCGGCCACCTTTGCCAATGCGGAATTCCGGGGAGCTACGTGCTGCTGCAGTGGCGGCAAGGGGGCCCCGAGGCTTTCCAACGTTTTGTTATTAGTTCTTAGTCGGGAAAAATTAATGGAAAAGAAAATGGCAACTACTATAGTATGTTGGGGATTGGGATATCATTTATAAACCTACTGGGGTTAGCAGGAAATAGGGAATATATTATATAGGGACTGACTATATATTCCCTTTCCTCTACTAAGAACCAAAAGTCTTCTGGACCGGGTGTGCAACTGCTCGTATCATTTAGGAATATTGAAGGAAATTAGGGTTACCATTTTGGGGGTCCCCATATAAGAAGGATTATAGTTTCATTTAGGATTATTCTAGGGCTTATAAGCGCGTTGGGCTGCGGCATGTGGCTTCTCAGAGCTTTGGGCCTACTAGTTGATTGGATCACTGGCACTATTCGCCCAATAGGTACCACAACCCAGGCACATATCCTGCTTGTGGCCAGCTGAGGATAGATGAATCTCACTTTGCATCTAGTTGTGGCTGTGCTTACTTTTGGTTGCCGCCCTACACCCCCAAACCCCCTAGACCCTTTACCGTTTGTGCGCTGCAGGTGCAACAGCCGGGAGAGATTCCCGAGGCAGGGCTGACTCACAAATGAAGGTTTCCCAAAATTATGGGTACGATTTTAGGGGTCCGCATCAATGGGATTATCGCATTTTTGGGGTCTGTATTGTGGTCCCCCTATTTATGGAAACTACCAAATGTTCTGGACTTGGGGCACCGTGTAGTGGAACATCATGCTTTGCGACTAGACTATACTTTACAGCTGTCATCGAGGCATGTGCTCATACATGCGGATGCAGGTACAAGCGCATGTACGCGTACATTTAGTAGTACATAAAAGGTCCTCCCTCCCCCTAGAGTATATCCGCTAAGCCGCATTTACTTTTTTTTGGTGGGATATTTTTCGTAGGACCCGAACATACGGGGGGGATAAAATCAGATCATGAATTCCAGTAGATTTTGTTCTCGGAACTCTTTTATACAAATTCCTTGGAAACCCCGTGAGAAGCATTCAACATCTAGGGGCAGATTCAGATTTTGGAATTCTGGGGAGCCTGTATTCTAAGTTCGCGGTGTTCGGTGTTAGGGGGAAAGGGTTACCTTCCATGCACGAACACTGGTACAGATGTACTGCATACCAGAAACTAGAGCACAGCCCCTGCCAGGCATGTCAAGCACACTGATGCTGGTGTTGACCTTTGTCGCATCAGCCGTCGCGAATCGCGTTGCGAATCGTGTTCTTTTAGCCAGGCACCCAGGCTTTGCAGTAATAGTAATAGTATAATAGTAATAGTAATAGCAATAGTATTAATAGTAATAGTAATAGTAACGGTAAGTGCCAGGAGTTTGGGGCATAGAAGCGTGAGGTGCATTGTAGCTTCCATTTTCTCATTTTCTTTTCCATCATCCCTATAAAACCACTGTAGAATCCTTATATAGTAATCCCCTATAATCCCTATATGATCCCCTATATTCCCTATATAATCCCCTGTAATCCTTATATAACGCCTGCCAAAAGCCCAGCAGGTCCCAATGGCTGGGCACACCCTGTTTCTGTCGCTGGCAACCAGCGCCGCTCAGCTCGAGCCTAAGCAGAGCTTGCGTCGCAAGTACTCCCAATCCCTTTCACAAGGACACAACAAACGTCGGAAGTCTCTAATTCGTTGGGGAGGTCCCTGAGACGCGGTGATGAGGTTGACTGCATACCTGCTGCTGTTGGCCTGGCGAGCGTGGAGACAACTTGCGATAAGCACGCGGCTTACTCCTTCACAGCCTGTTCGCATCCTCGTAGTGCGTTGGGCTGTAAATGTGTGTTTGCTTATTTGGTTACACGTACGCATATTTGTTAGCCATACACTCCTGGCATGCTATAACCTCCTGCATTTGCTTGGAACCCGACAAATTTTTCTTATCCCAAGTATTACATCGTTTTCCGCCTCCCCTCCATGAAAGTCCCTCATTGTGCTTTCCAGGCATGATTCACTTACAAGCCCCATGACGTAGTTGTCGATCAGCTAGGTGACATGTGGCAGTTCGTGGCCGCGCACTGGCTGTTGCTGCTGCTAGTGGGTGCATGCGCAAAGCTCAGCCTCTTCACGTGTCAGATGTTCTTCCTATCTGCCCATCCAATTGGGTGAGACGGTGAGAATCAAAGATTCCATGACGGGCGAAATGAAGACAGCATCTTTTGGTGCAAGCTCATCCAGATCATCCAGTGAATGTAGGTTTCATGACTTGGGCTTCAGCATTACCGGATTATTAGCATTGATCGTAGAGATTCAACTCTGCCCTCAGTAGAGCTTCAAGAAACAGCTTTAGTAGATTCCAGCAGAATATGGTAGAATATGTGTTCCTAGAGCCAACAGTAACCAGGTACCTAGATTCTCTGGTGCCTTAAGTTCCAAGGTGAAGGAGCCTTCTATCCCTTGGTCTTTGCTGCTGCTTCCAAGTTGCCGGGAGGACTAGTCCAGGCCTGCTCAGCGGGATATAGGGTTGAGGGTGTATCCCCATATTACCCCAACATACAGAGCAGTTTCCATTTTCTTTTCCATTATTCCTATATATCCCCTGTTATCATACCCCTGTATAGCCCATTATAGTAGTTTCCATTTTCTTCTCCATTATGCCAATATTACCCCTAAATAAATCCAACAAATCATGGATACAGGTCACATGACATGAAGCCTCATAGGTGGTCTGCAAAAGCCTGTGCAAGATCCTCTGCTTGCCACCAAGATGAGGATTAGGTAGAAGAATGTAGAAAGAAATGACCGAGCAAGTCTCCCTTTGACTGCAGTGTGATGGATTTGGCTGGAACAAAACAGCAAACGACACGCATGAGATGTGATTCGGCCGCGGGTAGTCTGGCCAGGTGCTGAACCAGTCCGTAGTGCCCTATACCGTCGCCTTCAGTGTCTTCCTGGCTGACTTGGGAAGCTGGTGTGGAGAGAGTGTGGGGTGTGATGACAAGCTTCTGTTGCGTGAAGTGGCATTCCTGGGCTGATGCGAGGTCTTTCTGCTCGGCCGCCGTTACACCCCTATCCAGTTCCTGGGGGTGCCGGCCTTAAAGTCCGGTGGATGAAGCCCCCTTGGCTGTTGCCTCAACAAAGACCAACAATGCGAGCAGCTGTTTGCAAGCACGGGTGAGCACCTCCCCCAACATGGAAAAGCTGATGGGAGTGGGGTTGACTTCGCAAGGTCCAACATGTTCTCAGCTTTCAAAGTGCAAATTTCTGGGAGCTAAACCAGATTAACGTCCTCGGCTCTCCGCAGCCATACATACCAAGCCTTTCTTCACTCAAGGTTGCAACAGTGCTGCTGGGCGTTCTCGTCGCCGTTGGCCTACCTGCAGGTGCCTAGCCAGCAAGCCTTGCCGACAGAGTGCTGATAGCGCTAGGCAGGAGTCACACGGAACAGGTGAGATGCATCGTAGCTTTGCCTGGTATTCTACAGATTCCCCCGAATGGGGGTCTGTTCTGCTGCACGGGCACATGAAGTGCGCAAGAGGCCCAAACTTGGACAAGGCATTTTTTCTGCTTGATGTCAGCCTGTCTATTGCCGTTGCATGGACACCTACCCGCAATACCGTTGCCTTTTGCTGAAAATATGCGTCAACAAGAAAGAGGGATTTGCCAAACTGGTGCCCATGCTCGACGCAGAAGCATGGTAGCTGTCGATTGGTTCGTTGCACCGTGGTCGGGAGCACAAAGTGCCCAATACTCTGTCACAAGAGCCATGTTTTCCCATCAACGTTTTGCCAATGAGGTTCCTTGTGGCATCATGGGGTCGCAATGCATGCAGCAGCCTTAGTTGATCCATAGCAGTTGCATGACGTTGCACGCCTTGCCTCATGTCATAAGAAGTAGCTTGTGAGAACACAGCTGCAAGGATGTGTTGCAGTGCGCAGGTGTGCGACTCAGATGGGCATGGCTGTGTACCGAAATTGGTCACTACATTCCCTCCAGAGCCCTGAAATCTAAATGTAGGAATCCGTCGAAGCAGGAAATGCAAGTTTTTGCCCACCTCTACATCTGACAGTCAAGACTTCAAGATGAATTCTGCACTTTTCCATGATCCCTACCGTGTAATGATCCTTTTTAAAGCCTATGTTGCCCTATATGTTCTGTGTAAGCCCTATACATCTCTATATACCCCTATACAAGCCACAGTAAGCCCCCAGGGGCCTACGGACTGCTAGCCATGGCAGTGACTCTCAAGGACGGCTTTTCGGCAAGGTTTTAGGGTTTAGGTCAGGAGGACCCCCCACCCTGTAATAAGCATAATAGGAATATATCGAATATGAGAGGACCCTAAAATGATCTTTATCATCCCTTGTAGTTACTTTTTTTCCCCTCAAACCCTAAACCATAAACCCATAACATCATCCCTTATAGTCACTATTACTGCGTGGGGGTCCACCTAAGGTTTAGGTTTATACCTTCAGCAAGGTCGGAACCCACTCAAGTTATCTTTTTATTTCTTAGGAATACTGTGTTAATCGTAGTGTAGCATAATGCAAAGAGTTATTATACACTCATATGTTTAGTAGTGGTCTGGGGGGAACATAGGTTATGACCGAAATCCCCCGGACCTATTGCTATAGATGACGCTGGTGTTTTGCAATATGCCTGCCTGGTTTTTCAGCAAGGTTTTTTTTTCTACGCACTGGTGTGTAGATGTGTACAGTCTATAATGAGGGCCCCCCACCCTACCGATGAAGGTTTCCCAAATTAGGTGTGCCATTTTGGGGGGGCCCCCATACTAAGGACTATAGTATTTTTTGTCTATATTGGAGTCCCCCTATCTAAGGAAACTAGCATATTCCTAGGTCTTCTAAGGGCTCGCCATTTGGAGAAACCCCCATGTTGGGTTTCTCAAAACGGCTTGTACAGAAGCCACCATGTTGGGCTCTGCCGAATTATGGTCCACCAGGGCTCTCTCAAGTAGACACATAGTCCTGTAGTTCTTTGATGTAGGGATTAGACCCTACAACCATCATATGATAGTCATAGGGTCCTAATTTTGGGGGTTGGGGTTACCAAAATCCTTTCATCAAAGTGTCGACTGTCGCAGCAGGTTTGCAGAAGAAAGGTTGGGGCAGATAGTCCCCTTTTAAAGCGAAGCTGCTACAGTCTTTGAAAGCTTGAGCTTGCAGGACAGAATCTTCCAGAAAGAGCGGCAGAGGGCATCATCTGGCGTGGAGGTTTGGAAGCTGTGTTTCTGCTGTTTTTTGGATAAGCTTGCAGCACAGGACTGAACTCAAAAGGTTGAAGCCTGAAAGCTACCTCTACCTGAGTGCATCAGGTTAGAGGGTAGCTCATTTGCCAAGCCCTCTACCAAACTTAGAGACGGAGCATCCTGTGCAGCTATTTGCAGTTAGAGGTCGTGCATGAAGACATGGAGCCACGTTGCAATTGCTCAAATGCATCAGTACAGACTTGTGCAAATATTCAATGTTTTGGAGTTTCGTGACGGGCTGGGTTTGCCAGCATCTTGCGCCATGACTTTTCTGCCCTGAAAGCAGAGCATTAATTTTGTTGTTCGAGATGCTGATGATGCCGATGTTTTCGGAAATGTCTTCCATTTGAGGACCTGTTGCATTCATGCCAGAACCCAGCAATAGCGAGCTTTGAGCGCTTTATGCCATGCGCTGCGCGATTGCAGCCTGCTGGCTGAGCTGCACATGGCTGCTGGGGGCAGCCAAGACGCTCTTTGCAGCAGAAAGCATGGGCGGTTCTTTTGTGGGTTTTGACATAATCAGGACTTCCCAGGCACTGATTTGCGCGCACGAAAACCTTGTCAAGGACTCCGCGGAAAGAGGGGGCACTTGGACGTGGGTCTGAAGCTCTCGAGCGCGAAGAGGCCGAGAGGCTTTTGAAGCAGCCGCTGGGGCAGCGTACTGAGGGACTGGGGGGGATGGCTGCAGAGTCAGAGGCTGACTTGAGAGCAGAGACCTGCCTTTGCTACAGTACCTGGCCCTTGAATAACGAAGGTACAGGCAGAGTTTCAGTGAGGCGCGGGACGCCATAAGAAGTCTCCTGCACTGCAATCATGCTCAGTGGCGCTTGCTCGACTGGGGAGTTCTGCAGGCAGTTGCTTGAAAACAAGTAGTTCGCAAGTGATCAGGATGGCGATCCTTTACGCAAACGGGGCAAAGACCTCGCGTGCTCTGCGTGCCAGCAGCCAAGCAATTGCGATGAAAGCTGCACAGAGGTGTAAAACTCTCGGAGGCAACGAGTAAACAAGCAACTAAGAAGTGCAACAGGCAGGAAGGAGGAAAAGACCCAGAGAATGAGAGAAATGTGCGCGAGCTTGCGGTGCGAGCTGAGGCCGGTTGGCCGCGAAAGGATCCATGGCCTACAGCGCCAGACATGTTCTGCAGATTTGTGTTGCTAAGCTGCGCACATGTTTTTGTGGCACGACCTCGAGCGCTAAGGATTCCAGAGCAAAGTTGCCAGCAAGATCAAAGGCCGGAGCTGCGAGAAGTCTGGATTAAGCTGGTTCAAAAAGGTGCTGGGCAGATTCTGCCAGGCAAGATGCCAGAAGCAGACAAGCGAGCAGCCTTTCAGCGCGGGCTAAACCTGGCCTGTGAAGAAGGGATGTTCCCAAAGCAGCTCGCAGTGGCACCTCGGCCAGGCACAGCCAACGATAGGAGCTGTTTAACATGAAGATTATACCTGGATTAAATGGGGATTTTATGGGTTATGTAGGCATTTCTACGGGGTTACACAAGCAGACCCTGATCTTGCATCACTAGATGCGCACGGCCTAGGTAGAGAAGGAAGGGAAGCAGTTCTACGTTGACTTTCAAGAAGCCCTGGGCAGCGCGCACGGGCGTGTCAACGTGAAAGCCATGAGCCCTGAGATAAAGGCGGAATATGGTATCTAGGGTTTATGTGGGGATACTGGAAAAGAACGTGGAAACTACTATAGTATATTGGGGTTATATTGGGATAATGGAAACAAGAATGGAAACTACTATAGTATCTTGGGGTTATATTGGCGGACTATCGGAGAGATTTCGATGGCCTACATACAAGCAAAACAGTTCCAGCAGCATTGCATTGTGTGTAGCACCTTCCTGTGCAGGGCGATGTCATGAGTGCGTGCCGGCATTTGCTGCAGAAGGAATGGAAAGAAAGCCTCTTGCAGAAGGCGCAATTACCGTGACCTATGTTGGATAGGTGGATTTGTGGAGCATTTTGGTGGTTTTATTGCACAAGCATTTCAAGATGGAAGCGTGGATCAAGATGCGGAGTTCTCAGTCGCTGATTCTCCAACTAGTGGTGCCAACACATGATTCCCTATCTCTTCGCTGAATTGCCTGTGTCCGAAGCAGGTAATCTCGACGCCAAAGGGCGGGCGAGCTTCTGATATTGACTTTGCATCGCTCATCTGTGGAGCCAAGATGGCCGATGCTCCTTGGCCTCAGAAATCTCATAGTAATCTCATAGTCTCATAGAAATGGAATTTGCACACTTTTGTGCTTGTATACTTGCCTGTGGCCAGGCGTGTTTTATACTTTATACCACCTACTAGTAAATTACTAGTAGTTGTGGTCGAGCCACCAATGCCCAACGATATCCTTAAGCCTTGGGTGAGTCCAGGTATGTGAGGACGAGGAGTTGGATGGCGAACGTGATGAGGAGGAAGAACTTTGATCTGCGGACCGCAGCCCAACAATCCGGGTCTCACGCGTTTAGCTCCAGAACGTCTCAGTCCCAGGTGATGTCGATGAAGACCATCGAAGCACAAAAGACTGCCACGTGATGCTGCTGCGCTTGAGTCCAAACAGTGTCCAGAGCACGTTTGTACTAGTGAGCCCTGCAAGTCCAACACCTCACGCATGTGGAGGTCTTTCGGACCCACATCCCAGCATCATATCGTTTGTGCCATGCATCGCTGCAGACCACTTTCTGGGAGGAGCCGCAAATCCTGTTGGTTTCCACTGTTGCGGCTGCAATCCAGCTGATGGTTTGCTTCTCAGCTCTCCTGCTGGTTTCTAAAATAAGTAGTGCTTCACTGTCTCCGAAGACTTGCATTGCACGAGGGGTCCATGACGTTTATAGCAGCGCCCTCAAATGATTTTTTTTTGTAGTTACGTAGTTGCATAAGTTGCATGACACAGCGAGAGAACGAACACTCTTTGGACCAGGGTTCCTCCTGTTCATGGAGTTCACACCAAACCACGACCTTGGATTGAAGACCTGGGAAAACCCCACGAGTCTAGGTTTAGGGTTTGAGATGTTCGAGTCAATACGAGTCATGGAGGACTGGTTCTGCCAGCGATCTGAAGTAATCTTAATCGTCGATGAAAATTGCTGGCTGACAGCAATGCTGGTTCAATGCTGCAAGTATGGTGGAGGCAAATTGTGCATATATTTTGTTCTACCCTGGTCTACTACAGTATGCTATAATATGTTATAGTATATTTGAAGTATCAATAACCAAGGGATCGAAAACAAAATCTGACATGAACCAGGGGTGACAGCAGGCATTCTGGTAGGGGAACCTTCAGAAGGGCGCTGTGTAGCTCCGTGATTTGCATGGGGTTTGAGTAGCAGGCCACTAGTTACCCTAGACCTTGTATATAGAGTCTTACTGTAGAAGAGTCGGCTCCACAAAGCCAGAAGCCCTCACGTCGTGCCTCGTGGAGAAGGAAAGGATGGGTCATCAGGGTCATATGACATGAGCTATAGTCTAAATTCCGAGTATCCCCCTTAATCCATAACCCTATTAGAATACTTCCCTATATAATCCCCTATGTAACCCCCTTTAAGGAGTTTAGATTATAGCTCACATTGCGGGATTATTGCGTAGTCGTCCTTCACCCCATAGGGCAGGCCGTGAGAGTTTCTCACACTAAGGTGTGCATGATTCGCTGAAAGCGCTCCCAGCTTGAGAAACTTCCATGTGGGTGTATTGGGGTATGACCTTAATTTAAGAAAACGCTTGCATGATTACCAATATGATGGTCCAATATTCCTCAGATGATTTTAGTTTGTGGTTCCTCAAATAGACCTCAAAATCATATGAGTTCCCTGTCTTACTTGGGTCAAAGCGCACCACTCAGTTGGCCACTGTCAGGTTCAACTGCTCGTCTTCCCCTTGGCCTTCCCCAGTCAGATGCAGCCTGAGTTGCTGTGGGCCTGGGCCCCAGCAGACGGCGAATAGGACGTTATCGTAGTCAGTATTGGGATATTCCGATGACACAGACTAGTAGGGTTGATGTTATTAGTAGCAATACCAGTGAATGCAGCGGAATACTTTTTTGTATTCCTAGCAAACAGAATATTTTTTCAAACAGAATTCATTCTTGGTTGCGGCAATATTTTGTTATTAGCCTAAATGTGGCCTCAAGGTATTGAAGGTTTAGGTATTGAAGGTTTTGAGTCCTACAGTTGGGACATTTTTTGGATGCCCATTTCAGCGTCGGGTGCCAACTGGTGAAACAAATGTTGAAATTCTTTATCCAAACAAATTCGTACCCGTACTAACCCAACAAAATGGTGAAACAAAAGCGCACTCAATTTTCACTAGTTGAGCCCATTGGACCCCAGTTCCAAAAGGCCCATGAATACTGATTTTGTGGTGGCGCTACGGGATACATTTTGTCTGTACTCAACAGAAAGTATTCCTTGAGGCAGGAATACAAAAAAAGTATTCCCATGCACTTCCTGGTAGTAGTAGCAGTAGTAGCAGTGGTAGTAGGAGTTAGTAGTAGCAGTAGTAGCAGTGGTAGTAGGAGTTAGTAATAGCAGCAGTAGTAGTAGTAGTAGTAGTGAAAACATTACCAGCAATTCTAGTACTGATAGTACTAGGCAACCTTCCAGCCGAGGAAGGGGCGCAGCACGTGATGGGTCGGAGATTACCCCTTGTGCCGTGGTTCAGTCCTCGGGCTCTTCTTTCTGGTTCTTAGTAGGGAGTAAGGAAATATATTATAATAGGGAGTATATAGGATAGTATAGGATTATATTTCCTTACCCCCTACTAAGAGCCAGTAACTTTTCTGTGCTGTCTCTATGGGTTTCTCAAACTGTTGGGTTCCTGCAGAGGCCTTTGAAGGAAGCTTGGGAATGTACACCTTTTTTTGTGGCAGGTGAGCAAAAGTGCGCAAGTCCCTGTGTAGGCGTCCTAAAACCCAGTCATGGTGTGAAGTACACCTGATGTAGACCCATGATTAATAAATCCCCTCCGTTTAAGGGTCTTAATGTTAGGAACCCTATTATAATCCCTGTTGGGGTGGGGGGTTTATTAATCAGGGATCTGGGTTAAAGATGTTTTAGTTGCCTTCCGGCCTGATCTTTCGCAGACTTCATACTCAAGAGATCACAGGCAGACCGATAGCTAATGGGCAGCTACAACCATGTTCAGTTTAGAGCAAGGTCCACTGAGTTGAGTGTGTTTCATGTGGGGTCTTTCTTGGCGAACATCACTGCTGAAGCTTTGCAAGGATTGCCCTTACATACTGGGTGCGCCAGCCTCGGCATGAGCGGTTTGAGTATAATCCGCCGATGCGTACCTGAGCTGGAGGAAAGTGAGTAAAGTGTTTTGTTAAAGGAACATGTCAGCTGCTATTCATGTTGACCAAGGTGCAACGTAATCTTCAGCGTCTCGGCGCTTCGTTTGGTCAGGAGGGCCTCGGCCGCTACCGTGGTCCTGGCGAATGCCAGCTGCCGAGACCAAAATTTCTCATTCGCAAATGGGAGTGTCTTAGCTTAGCAAGGCCCAAAAGAACCTTAATTATAAGCTTCCTCTCAACTTGGTGTTGCGCCGAGGTTGCGGCGCTTCCGCTCAGCGCCAACCTGCTCAGCTTCTTGAGATGTGAGTGCGAGTGGTGAAGCAGCTTTGGGCGGGTTTAGGTGGCTGTCATGTGCAGTTTGTCTTTCTGAAGGCGCTGGTCTTTTGCTGCCCGCTGCCTCTGCTGAAGCCGGGCGCCAGTGCTTCCGCGCCAATGCAGCGGGTGCATAAGAGTTACTGTCAACTTTGATGTTACCAACAGACCATTCTGGACTTCTGGTGGTGTAGTATGGCTTAGGGTTTCGGGTTTAGGGCCACTGTAGCTCAAGTGAGTGCCACCAGCTGAGAGGCCACAGCATTTTCGCTGGACTTTTGCCTTGAGCCTCGTACTGGCCAAGAGCTCGGACGATCTTCGACACCTGGGGCTTCCGGGCTTCCCAAAGATTAGGGCAGTACCTTACCAAGAATTGAAGGTCCACTTTTGGGGGTCAGATCGCCGCATTTTGGGATCCGTATTGGGGTCCGCCTGTTGACGGAAACTGCTGCAGTCTGTAAATTCCATAGTGCTGACAGGTGGCAGCTGGCAACCTCATGTACGGACCCAGCCCAAGCTATTGCTGTGCGGAGGGGTTGGTACACTCCTGGCCGTACTGTGTAGCACAACCATGCATTCCAATGAACTTGCTCGGGATTCCCATTATGAGGGGCACCTTTTTGGGGGATCCCTATCATCAGGATTATACTGTATTGGGGTCCCCCCCCATCTTGGGAAACTACCACTTATTCCTGCTGGCACCAGTAGTTTCGTGCTTTCTTGAAATAGGTTGTAGCCTAGCTTGAGGACGCTCTTCGGCCCGAAAGCCTGGCACGCAAAAGTGACCGGAACCGGCAGTGAGGTTTCAGAAAATTGGGTCCTTCTTGCTGTCTCCATCGGTTTCCACAAGGATGTCCGCATTGTTTGCTTGGCATGTTTGGACCCCATACTTTCTGAAACCATGACATGCTGCCACTCATGTCCACAAGTCTCCCGCCGTTCACTTGGCATACGCCTGAGTGAGCAAACGAGCGGAATCCATTGTCAATGCACTAGTTCAAAGATGTGGAAGTGCAAGTGTCCAAAAATCTGGACGTCTGGTACAGAAGTTTGATATTTCACATATATGGCAACTGCCCTACCATTTTCCCTGATTTTCGCCTGCCCTCGCTTCCTGCGGAGAGCTTCTGGTCAACGATTGGAGCGTCGGATGCCACACTTGGGATTTTAGCCTGGTCCTCCAACTGGTGGGTTCCATACTCGTGACAAGCGCAAAATACATGCTAAGCTACAATTCAGATAGGAGATGTATCTGCAGATGCCTAGTATTGCCAAAGCAACCAAAAAAACTAAATCCTAAACCCTAAGGTCCCTAAAGCTTCATCCCAAACCCTCAGCCCAACACCTAGGACAGGCAGTTTCTAATAGTAAGGACGTTACCACCCACTGACTGAAAGAACAAATTTCATGTGTTCTCAAGTCTAAACTCCTTACAAGGCAGTTATATAAGGGGTTACTAAGGGGGATACGAGGAGTTTAGACTATAGCTGATGTGTTTCCGCAATGTTCGGATTACTCTACTGACGTTGGCCCTTAGGAGGGAAGGGGAGGTGAGCTGTTAGCTTCCCATTGGCGTAGAAGGGGACCTATTCTGCAATGATGCTGAGCAACTTGAAAGTACAAGCAGGAGAAGGGATGGATGGTAGTTGCCGAAATTGCGGGGCCCAATATAGACCCCACTTTTGTCCGTCCTTCATATTGGGAAGCCCAAACAGGACCCCTAATTTTTGGAAACCTGTAAGCCAACATGCATGCCCAGTTTCCATTTCAGTTGCCATTTCTTTCTTTGTTGATTTTCAAATTATTGGGGCTCTATATATATATATA